GTTTAAAATACTTTCTATACTTTTTAAGATTCTTATTGAAACTGCTGAGAAAGACATCACCTTTTTATATAGAATAGAACCGATAAAGTGCGCTATTTATGCTGAATCAATCACATTTGTGCATTGTGTGTATTATTTTTTTTTTGCGTCAAATAAGGTATGTCGATCATTTTGCGCTAATTTTGCTGCTTTTTTTTGTTTGCGGTATTTGTAAATGACATATGACCACCCTCGTACTATTTACTTATTTGTTCTAAATATTTTTCCGGTTATTCCCACACACAGGATTTTTTATACTTATTGATCAGTCAAAATGCAGTTATATTCACCGTATCTATAATCAAATGCACACCCATATCCTGTGTCTGAATGGTGTAGGGAGTTTTACAGCATTATAAAAATCTCTTTTTTCTAATTTGAATTTATATTATGGAGAAGCTCTATACATGGAAGTTTGTCGCGCAATTACTACATTAAACATGCACATGCTTTCTTTTTTTTTTTGCTTTAATATGTTGATTATTCTGATGTTTATTAGCTGCAAGTTGCCATTTGGGAAAAAGAGAAAGCGTTTAGAAAATATCAAGTAAATCATGTTCTTTAAATTACGAATTTAGTCTAATAAAGTTTCTGGGTAGTTCCCTTCATAATGCACATTTTGTTATGAGTATACGCTATCTAAAAATTGTTTGTGATCAAAAAACGTGATTTAATGAATTTAACTATAAAATGTAAAATATATTTAAAACTAAAAAAAAAAAAAACTAATTTTTAATGCCACATACAATTCTGAAATTAATATGATGTCATATTTATCTTAACCTAATAATATTGAGGTATAAAGATATTTTAATCATCACTCAAAAAAAGAATGAAAATAAATTAATAAATCACCTTTACGAAGCTATAAGATTTTACTTTGGACCACACTTGCATTCCTGTCCATTCGCAATGCAAGCGCATTTATCACCACATTTGCACCTAAAATAAATATAAAATATATGTAAGAAGATACACAGTTGATGCAATAGAATAAAAATTCATAGAGGTAATATAAAATGCGCACGAATGCTGAGTTTTTTCTTTTTTTGGACAATTGCAACTATCGGAAGATTCACACTTGCAATTCTCATTGCCGCAATCGCATCCACCATTGTAGAAAGTCATTTTAAAAGGATTAATTGAGATAGTAGTATGTTATTTGGTGTGCTTTCAGAAGAAATTGACTTTTTGAAAGCACTCCTATTTATACGCATGTTGCATAAAAATTTATGCAAGTACAGTGCGTCAATTATGCTATCAATGATGATGCTGATGAGAATATGAATAATAATTTCACACGGATAAAATTGCTCTACCTTACAAAGGCAAATTTCAAAGTCAATAAAAATTTGAGACATTTTTGCTATTCTACGATTTAGTTTTTGAATACTCCGTTAAACTTGAAACCGAAATTTGATTTCAGGAACAATTACAGTAAACAATCAAAGAACAATTCTAACGATTGTAAATCTGTCTGTAATGGAAATAGTCTTTCCTTAGAACCCGAAATTCTTTATCGAGTCACATAGAATTGGACGTTACGATCTTCAATGTTACACGTACATGAAGATGAAGAACGTGACTGTTTAGTTACCACATCTAAACTCCTGTAATACGAACTTAACTAATTCTCGTTTCACAGTTTTTCAGATACTACTGTTACCCTGAATTCTTTTAAAGCTTAAATATGTTTGCCGTTTCAGCTTAAAAGTACGTATATGTGACATCACATACTTTGTGCAACTCCCTTAAAATATGTATCGATGTATCGATTTGACGGTAAGAAACTGATTCGTAATTTTAAAACAGGTAATAAGGTTAATAATAAATGATATCATAGTAACAAATTGTTTAGATTAATAATAAATGACATCATAACGATAACAACTGCATTAAAAAAAAAATTAGTTCATCGTTGTTTATCGTTATATACATGTACTTTATTGAGCATTATTATTTGTTTAGAACCTATCTTCATTATGTTCTTCCTCGCTATTTTTTATTACTTACAAAAGAATTAAAAGAATTGATAACACATAGCAAATGTGCATTTATGAAGGGAACTATTGAAAAAACTTCGTAAAAGAAGAACATGATTTAATCGATATGTTCTAAATGTTTTAACTTTTTTCCTAAATGGAACCTTATGCATTAGCTCAAGCTTTAATAAAATATATAAACAACTGAATTTAAAATCGAATATTTGCTCATGGAAAGTGTTAAATGCAGAATGCTCATATTTTGAAGCTAAATTTTTTGATTCAGCAGGATAATCATTATATTAAAGCAAAAAAAGAGAATGTGGATTGAATGTAGGGATTGCGTGACAAGCCTTCATGATATAAATTCAAAAGAGATATTCAAATTAGAAAACGAAAGGGATATGTATTTTAATTACGGAAAATTCTTTATAGATGATTGTCACGATTGAGTTACTAAGTGTTGAGAATAATAGAGAAATATATGGATAAAAAGGAGGGAAATAGCTAATTCATTGAGGGGGTGGGTCTCGAAAAAAGTGAGGTATCTATTCTTTTCCACGAAATGACATATGATTGGTCAAATTTAACTCATGTGGGCGAGGGAGTAGCCCTATTAAATGCAGGAAAGAAAGTAATAAATGACACTTCCCTTGGCATATAGATTTTGTAAGCTAACACGCAACTATATAAGAAGGTAGTGTTTTTCTCAGCAGCATAAATAAAAATCTTTTCTTACAAAGTATACAAAATAAGCTTTTTAAACAATCTTTGGAAAACTAAATCCTGTCTACTTCTTTCACAAAAAATGGATAACAACTACGGATGCCATTGTGAAAATAACTGTCATTGCGGAGCAACCGCTACTACTGCTTGTACCTGCAATGTAAAGCATATGAAAGAAACAACAGCTCAAAATACGTATGTATTTTTATTTAAAATGTCTATTAATTATTCTAACAGCATTTATTTACATATGTATATAACTTTATTGCATTCAGTTGCGATTGTAGTGACGGACATACTTGCACTTGCAATTGTGGTGACGGTTGTAAATGCGCTGCTAACGGAAACGAATGCAATTGCGAGTCACATTAATTATTTGACTATGCTAAACATCACGAATTTTTTTTGTTAATCTTCAGCGTAGTTTCGAAATCACAAACTTAGAATAAAATAAAACATGGCTTTGGTGGCATTTCACAAAAAATCTCATTGTCTTTTAGCTTGCTCTTACAGTAAAATTAACAGATTATAAAGAGAAATTTGATTCCTTTTTAATATACACGTCAATATTAAAAAAAAATTAAGACAAAGAAAGCGCCGCAAGACTCATCTGGAAAGGACGACAGTTAATAGCCACATCCGAAATTAATAAGTTTATGTGTTGTTAGTTGATAAAAGACTCGTTGATTTACTATTTAGAAGTACTCAGTTTTTATTTTATTCGTAATAAAAGCCTAACAAATAGTCTTGGCCTACCTAAAAAAACAGAATAGACTATACAGTGCAAGTTGTTATTTCAGAATCGAAATTTTATAAATTCCATTTGATCTCTATCTACCAAACGCACACTACAAGTACATGTAATTTGTAAAACTTATGGCAAACTGTATGCAATTCCTTTTTTGAGTGATTACCAATAGTATTATACCTCAATACTATTAGATTAATATAAACATGAACTCACATTAAAAATTAGCTCTAAATTATTTATATACTTTATAGTTAAAATTGAAAACAATTCATTTTATCATTTATTTTTGTTTTAGACAGACATATTAAACTCAAAAAAATCGTCTTCACAATTTTCGAAAATTTTACAACGTATATTCATAGCCAAATGTGCATTATAAAGAGAACTACCTAATAAATTTATTAGACTAAATCGTAATCAATGTTAAAGAAGAACATGATTTAATCTATATGTTCTAAGTGCTTAGCTTTTTCCTAAAATGAAACCTTATATATTATTAGCTCTAATAAAAAAATATATTTAATAACTAAATTTTAAATCGCATATTTGTTCATGAGTTAAATGCAGAGTGTTTCAAAATTTTTTGATCCAGCTAATAACCGTCAGAAATCATCATCATATTAAAGCAAAAAAGAGATCGTTGCAAAGGTTTAATGTAGAAGTTATGTGGCAAACCTCGATATATAGAACTTGAAAAGCTTCCATAAAATAAATTCAAAAAAGATACGAGTAAATCAAATTAGAAAAACGAAAGAGATATTTCAATTTCGGGAAATTCTTTAAACAATTGTCACGACGAGTTACGGAAATGTTGAGAATAATAGAGAATATATAGGATGAGTAATGAAAATGACTAATCCATTGGATTGTCATATCTCCTAAATTACATTGTTGGTCTGGGTAACTTACCCCTCTTAATTTGTTGTAAATTCATTTGAAAGTTTCACAACACAAATAATATAAATCTACAAATTCTGATTCTATATCTTTATAACTATTTATACCAAATTTTATAATCTTAGTAATTTCCTTCTCTACTAATCTTAGTTTTCAAGTGGAAAATTGATCAACAAAAAATGATTCTCGGCAATGACCATTCGATTCGTTTAGTCAAGATGAATTAAACGATAGCATTTAATTTACATGAATTGGACCAAGATATTCTATTTGCGAATTAATCAATTCTTTTGGCATTACTTTTTGATAAAAATCAATTTTTCATTGACAATTGATTGCAAAACAAGTCACTAAATATCACAGGGCAATGATAATTACTAAATGTATTTTAAAATAAAAAAAATTATTTTGCTTTATTTTGAGTAATTTAGAAAGGATACATTACCGTATTTTCCCGAAAATAAGCTACCCCGAAAGAAGCTTCCCCCCCCCCCAACTTTTTCAATCAAAATCGGGTGTATGTAAACAATATGCCCCCAAAAATAAGTTACCCCCCCCCCCCCCAACAAAAAATAGTAACTTATTTTCGGAAAAATTCGGTAGTACTGTATATCACCACTCAGACTGAATCGGATTCAATAACTATTTTAGGAACATAAATGCAGATCGCATGTAGGATTTCCCAATATAAATATTGATATTACGTAATTTAAAGATATCATGTCTGTGTCGAACAATATCTCATGGCTAAAAAGGCGCAAACAAAATGCAAGCAAAATTAGCGCACAATGATCCCCATAAAATTTTTTTAGCGCGATAGGACAAGCAAAATTCCCTCAGAATATATACAATACACAAAATGTGTACATCCTCAGCATAAATCGCGCGTTTTTATCGGTTCGAAGCTTTTGTAAACTATATAAAAGGTGATGTCTTTCTCAGCAGTTTCAATAAGAATCTTAAAAAGTATAGAAAATAGTCTTTTTAAAT